TATATTTAGATCAATTTGTTCCATTAGTCGTTCCTATGATTAGTCCATTAACTCATTAAGTTACTGCATACCAACACACACACACATCATGTACCGTTACAGCTGGTAATTTCGGAGGAGGACATTTTTGCAAATTTGGCATTATACATGTATACATGTACGTGTATAATAACCATAAATATACTAGACAATAATGATTTATAATGTACCTGCACTTGTATAGGTCATTCCTTCTAAGCAGTCTTATCAACAATATAATCAGCAGCAGCAGGAGCAGGGGCGGGTTCATCGTCCCAGTACGACTGATTACAAACACATCGTTAGTCTTGAGGTTGATCAGGACCTAGGGTTCTCAATTATCTCTAAAGACGGGATTACGTTTGTCCATGTCATCACACCAGGGAGTACCACAGAGAAAGTAATGATCACGGACAATAATCATAATCTTTATCTTGTACTGTAGGACGGTAAGCTAATGTCTGGAGACCAGCTGCTATCAGTTAACGGCGAAGAGGTCTTTGGTCTGTCTCACAGCTCAGTGTTGGACATACTCCAGTCTTGTAAGAGGTTTCCGGATCAACCCGTCAAACTGGTTGTATCCCGTCAGACGGGACCAGGCCAGGTGGAGGAGGCGGAGGAAAGTTTCTCAGATATTGACGTAATAATAATAATAATAATAATAATAATAATAAATTTATTTATTTATTTTTTAGTCTTCATCGTCAGATACTGAGACAGTTGAGGTACAGCTGGTAAAGTCAACCAGTGGGAGAGGCGGACTGGGAATATCAATAAACGCACTTGTTAACGACCACACCGAAGGTAATTAAGAGTATTAATATTTATTTATTATTATTTTTTTTTTATATTTATTTATTTTATTTTTATTTTATTTTATTAGAGGACAAAGGGATATACATAAGAGCGGTTCATCCAGAAGGTCCAGCTGCTCTAAGTGGATCAGTCCATTGCAAGGACAGGATAGTATCAGTGAATAGCCAGTCACTGAGGGGACTATCCAATAAAGAGGCGGCAAGACTTTTAAGAACAGCTGGAGACAGTGTACGACTGGAACTGAGACGAAAGAAGAGAGAGAAGAGAGAAGGAGGAGGAGAGAGAGCGGAGGGTAATGTTGAAGATAATAGAAGAACAGGACAGCTGGAAGGAACTGATGGTGTAAAGGAGGAAGAGGAGGAGGGAGTGGTTAATGAGAGTGGGTTAAGAGTGAGGAGTCCTCTCTCACCATCCGTTGTACAATGGGGGAATATACTAGGACCTGATAAAGAACTGATAGTGAGTTGATGGGCGGGGCAGTGGGAGGGGCTAACATTGAGTTAATGGGTGGGACTAATAATAATTTAGTGGGCGGAGTTTAAATTATAATTATATTCATAGACTGCGTACATTCAGAAGACTGACGATAGTAAAGGTCTGGGGTTTGGAATGGAGAGTATCGCTGTAGTGGATGACACTGGACAGACTCAAATAGGTACTGCTATACTACTGTATATGTATTTGTACATTTCATTAATGAATTGTTTGTTTAATTAGAGCAGGGCAATTGCAGTGA